CCATCCAAAAGTGGGGCTCGAGACCGCGATTTGGACTTGCCTTTATCAAGGTCCTTCTGAATGTTGCTGGCTCGTCGTTCTCGATTCGCCTTTGTTGGCTGCAAGAGATTTCTATTGGTCGACGTGGTAATGAGTCCAGGGTCGGCGCCGAGCCACCTGTCGGCGGCTGGCACATGAGCAGTTATGACCGGGTACTACGCTCTTTTCAGTAGCTGAGGGTTGTGACAAGATAGAGGGAGACAGCCTACATTCCAGTCTCCGAACTCCAAAGCTTTAGCGGTGGTAAAAAGCCTTTCGTCCTCTGCGTCAAGCTTCGCTTCATCAGCTTCATCGATTCCGGTATCTTCGTGTAGGTCTCTTCCACGCTTAGAAGTACTCATAGTCGCTGCTCGACTCGGTCCTCCGCTGCCACCAAGGAGAGGCGTTCTACTATTAATTTCTCCGGGTTTTGGTATCCAGTATTTGCCCTTGCCGCCTCTTTCATATCTCATTCCTTCCATCATTCGAGCGGTACGTGACTCCGACTCCTCGTGTGCAAGAACATTGTCTCCACTGTCAAATACCCTATACTCATAATGTCTGCCACCAAAAGTCTCTTTCGTGTCTTCAATCAGATCTCGTATACCAAAAGCGTCTCGCATGGCATATTTGACTGGCATACGGGCCGCAGAAATGGTGACATCCGCATAGTCTTGCCAAGAGAAAGCATACCAGTGAGCAACGGCGAAAAGAGGCATCTCGCAACAAATTAGAGCGTCCTGTATAGCAGCTGCGAGGTTGTCTGGCGTATATCCAGGAACATTGTTCGGTATTGCTCCCGCGAACTGTAGTATTGACAAGAAGAACCCTTGCCAGTAAGAGGCGAAGATTATCAACTTGATGCAGAGGAATTTGGGGACAGGTCTAAATGGTTGTAGGTCCTGCGACATGCAGACCCAGAACATCGCGAGTGAGTACAAACTCAGGGTAACGGAAACGTTGTACAGTATGCCACTCCACAGATACCCCGAAGTCAGTCCAATGTAGCCCTCCTGGTATGTACCGGTAGCTTTCATGACTATTGTCGCCAAACCCAATATAGGCTTTAGCCAAGCATACTGTAGGATGCCACGCTTGATTGCCAAAAATGTATGAGGATCAGAGATGTCCACTTTGGCAAGACAATGATTGAGTGGCCAGGGGTGATGAACAGGCTGCCTCCCATACATCATGATGATGAGAGAGCGTTCGCCTCCAAGAAAGTTGATGAGAAGTTGGAAAAATGTGTATATGGTGAATGCCTAAAGGCATTGGTTAGTCGAGTAATTTGAATCTTCAGGGTTTAGCAGGCAATACCTCGTATATGTCACGTAATGGATCCAGAAAAAAAGCGGCATCCTGAGACATTATACTGGCCCATGACGAGGCAGAGTATATGGGAACCCTGGCTCAAAGTGAGTTGCTAGCTTCATTGCGAGACATATTCACGTACATCAGCAGAATGCGAATTACGTATCGTTGTAGCAATGGCTTCCTGTAGTTTTTCCTACGAACTTCATCAACACACGCATCGCTCTAAGATGTGTATCCGCTACGAACGTTTGTAGCCATACTGATCTGGGATCGAAGAATGTTAGCTAAGCGATCTAGTCCGAGAGGAAACACAACAGAATCCGATGTGCTCAGACGTGTCATACAGGAAAGACAGCAACGAGGCAACAAGAGACGCGACTCCGCAGACAATCACAGTAGCCTTGGTCAACTTCGAGCCTGTGCCACCGCCGGATGCTCCGCCAGGCATTTCGAGGTCTCAACGTTCAAAAGTTGAAGAATTGAAGCTGGCACGAGGACTCAACGGAAGCTTCGAGGTGGCGTGCACATCAAAAAGATTAGCAGCAATGATTCAATGACTATCAACCGTGTCTCCGTAGCTGGCATTCAGCGACCCTGGATGGTTGATTGAGAGCGTGTTTAAGTTCACGTCAAATATCACATGCCTGAAGGCAGCCACTTTAGTGTTAGTTAGCGGTAGATTAAAGTACCCTTTAAAGTTTAAACAAGCTACACAAACAGCCGCTGGAGCTTATCATAACCGCTATCATCTGCATTAAAGTAAGGTCGGCAGGGGAGTTTTCGTAATGGTTCATATAGACTAGTTACATACTCATATATACCCGGAAATACTCGATACCTGATAATGCCCGGTCTTAAATTCTGTTGAAATTCGGATCACGTGACTCTTGGCGGTCACGTGATACGCCTTAGCGTGTCCGTATCTAGTCGCTCTTTTCTTCTATAGAACTCTATAGTTAATATAACTAAGTGTCCTACCTTTATATTTTAATATATTATTTAATTTTAGAATAACTTTTTCATTTTCTATTAAATTTTTAAGATTTTTTATTTAAATTATAGAACGTAATATAAACTTTTAGATAAAAGAATAATTATTAAATTTAGTCTTATAGATATTTAAGAGTAAAGAATTTAAATATCGCTTATTAAAGTTCGCTCGACAGCTCTAATTAAAAGAAATAATTATAAATTTAATTTATAAACCTTTACTCGTACTTATATAAATACGTTAGTAATAATAGATTTACGTAAGTTATATTAGATAATTTAATAGATTAATTTTTAACTTAAGTAAATTTAATCGAGTAATAAACTTATAAATAGATTATAGAGTTAAAATATTAGATTTTACGTAATAAAGAAAGTAAGTATATCTTTAATAAAAGTAGTTATAGATATAAATAAAAGATATTTCTTTAAATAATAATAGTTAATTAATTCTTTAAGGCTATTAAAGAAACGAAATTAAAGAAAATAGCGATACGCTAAGTTACGCTAGACTTAAAACGTAATATAATAGTTTAAATTAGCGAATATAAATATATTACTTAAATTCTATAAACTAATTATTTTTACTTTAATTAAAATATCTTACTCTTTTTAATATTAATATATATAAAAGAATAAGATAGAACTAAGTTATAAAATCTTAAATTTATATATATAGTTAATTATAAATTCGTTAGATCTACGCTTTTTAATTAAATCGACTAAGTTATCGCGAGTAAATAAATTAGTATTCGTAATTATTAAAATCTCTTACTCTACTTTTAATCCTTTAATAACTTTACTATTTTCTATTAAAATTTTAAGATTATTTTTTTAAATTATAGAGCGAAGATTACGCTTTTAAACAATCTAAAATTTTTATACTTTTATCTTATAATTATTAAAGTTCGCTTATTAAAGTTCGCTCGATAGTCTTAATTAAAAAATAAATAAATTTTATTTAATTTTAGAATAACTTTTTTATTTTCTATTAAAATTTCAAAATTTTTCTTTTAAATTATAAAATATAATATAGGCTTTTAAATAAATAAAGAATTATTAAATTTAGTTTTATAAATATTTTAAGATAAAGAGTTTTAATATCGCTTATTAAAAACTTATATACTTTTTTAAAAATACTCTTTAATATAAGCTTAGATAGTTGAGTAATAATAATTTTAATAAATTTTAAAACTATTTCTCTTCGTCCTCGATTTAAATCTATAAATCTCTCTCTCTAAAAAATTATAAAATCGTAAAATCGTAAAAATCGTAAAATTAATATAAATTATAAAAAATAAAAAATAAAAATAAAAAATAAAAAATATAAATAAATTATAATAGATATTAAAATTAATTTATTAATTAGATCTAAATTAGTTTAAAATTAATTAATTCTTTAAAAAACTTATTACTAATATAACTTCTCTTCTTTCTTCTTTTTAATTTTTTTTCTATTATTTCTATTAATTATAAAGCGTAGTTTAAGCTTTTAAATAAAAATAAAAATATTAAATTTAGTCTTATAAGTCTTTAAAGATAAGGAATTTTAATATCGCTTATTAAAAACTTATTTACTCTATTTAAAATACTTTTTAATATAAGCTTAAATAATCGAATATTAATAATTTTAATAAAATTTAAAACTATTCTATATTATTCTCGATTTAAATCTATTAATTTCCCTTATTAAAAAATTCTAAAATTCTAAAATTTTAAAATTTTAAAATTCTAATAATTATAAAATTATAAAAATTCTATAAACTATAATAATAATAATAATTATAATAATTATAATTAATATAATAATAATTATTATTATAAAAATACTATAATAGATTTTAAAATTATCTTCTTATTAATTAAATCTAAATTAATTTAGAGTTAATTAATTTTTTAGAAATATATTATTAATATAACTTCTCTTTTTTCTATTAAAATTTTATTATTTTTTAAATTAATTATAGAACTTATTTAACGCTTTCTAATAATTTAAAATTTATAAAATTTAATTCTATAGTTCTAAGTAAATCTTAGATTAAAGTATTTTCACTCTTCGAGAGTTAAATTCCATCTCGAAATTAGATTTAAAGATTAATTACTTTTTATAAATTTAATTTATAAGTTTAAACTTATATCTTAACTATTAAGATTATTCTTAATCTTTTTATTCTTTAAAGTCTTTAAACTAATTTTAGAGTTTTATAATAATTTCTTAATTTTAAAACGATATTATAACGATTTAAATATATAAAACGTATTTGAAATATTATACTTATTTTAATTTAATACGTTTTTTAATTTAATACGTTTTTTAATTAATACGTACTAAAATATATAATCGTTAATAACTCAATTCATTTTTTATTCTTTATCGTTTAAAGGCGGAGATGGCCTACTAATACGTCGCAATAAAACAACCGTATATTTACCGTACATATACAGTAAAAGAAGGCCGCTGCTGCTCGCTAAGATATGTACGAGGGGCCAGCCGGTCCGTAGCGCCGGCAGAAAGTTCCCCAAGCACCATGATTGCCTTAAGTAAAGATACACCCTACCGGCGTTCATTCATCTAGCATACCATCGTGCTTTGAATGGTATTCCAGAGGTAATTCGACCACATGTACCCCATACAGTAACAATGAACCTGGCAGCGTCTGGCCAAAGCTTCACGAGGCATGGGCGGGCATACTCTGACTGCGCGATCGTTGAATCTCCATGAAGGTCGATTCAATTGGTGCGTAGGATCAATGTCGAAAGATATTTGGAAGACATTTGAAGTAAAGCTAACTAGTACGACAGGGTCTTCCTCTTCTGGTATATCGTCTCCTCTGCATTGTAAGTGCTCACGCCCAACATTTGAAGAACTGAGATTTGACTTCCTCTGCAGAGCTATCTTGTTCCTCTTCTATTTCAATCGCCTCTTCGCTAGTTTTGTCTCATGTGGGATCAGAGCATATACCTGGCACCGTTATCGTGTGTACATTGATATTCAGGCGCTTCAGTTCTCACTTCTGGCGGGTCGCATATTTTTCAAAGGCTTGCGCTACCACGGTCAAAACGAGTCCATTTTAATCCATGATGGCTATATCACATGGAGATATTGGCTACGTCATGTCCAGGAGCTTGACTGCAAGAACTCGAATGGAGGATCTAAGGCACCTGCGCCCTCAGATAACGACTCTAATCCCGCTGATGGAGGAAGGACTAACGGAGGGGCAGAGGAGAATGGCGGGAATGGAAGGTCTCGGCGGCTGCCCTGCAGAGTGCTTGTGAAAAGTCGAGGTGTAGAATGGTTCATCTACAATCGGAGCCCAGCGTATGACGCCATCCTTCAAAGCATGAAAAGTCAAGAAGAATTGGACCACACCAGGGCTAGTCCCTCGGCCCAAAGGCCGGCGGAAACAAGCAAGCCGGATTCGACCCCCAAGGACCGCAGCAGCGCTGACTCGTTCCATGAAGAGGACGCGCTCTCATCGGTTGAGGAAAAGGAGGAAAAGGAGGGCCAAGATGATGACACTGTTGCTGATTCGGATTCGAAATCAATAATTACCGACAGCTCTGCTCATTATTCGACTACGACATCTAGCGCGCTGCCCGGTTTACTGCATATGCTTCCAGTTGGAATTGAATGTAACAAAGGCGCTGTTGTAATGGGAAACCGGAACACGCGTTCGATCCTCACCGCCAAGTTTGACAGCGCCGCTGGGCAAATCGACGCTCGGACTTCTGGAGCTGTTGATCAGTACAAACAGGTGTTTGATTTCGCCTTCTTTCATCCCGTGATTGAGTTCAAGCACAATAAAGACTTCACGGAGTCGCAGACGAGCGAAGGAGCTAAATTTCTTTCGAGGAGCAGTAGAGCGTTCGAGGAAAAAACCCAATGGTTTAGACGTGTAGATCACAGGAGGCGATTTCGCGACATTTGGATCTCATTTCGTGACCTTTTGCCTTATCACAGAGGTTCTGTGGAGTCACTGACTCATCCGCACCCAAAGTCAGGCGGCGCTCACAAATCGAGTGACGACGATGCTGGCGTCTTCGGGCAGAATCGGTGGCTGGGACTTACTCGATATCTGGACGATGATGATGACCTGATCGAACAGGAACGTTGGAAAGCAATCGACTATGGCGCATTTCCTACTATCGTTGACTCGCCGCAAATTTCGATGAGTATTTATTGGGATGTTCCTGGTCTGGTTCCGCACCTAGAGAGTAATCGTAATCCTCCACCTGGGTTCGAGACAGACATCAATGGGGACACTCCCCCTGACTGGGGTATAGAGCTGAAGGTTCGAGGGGGGATTATTAGCTACGGTCCGTGGGCTGATAGACAGCGTGCGGATTTGCAGGCAGTATTCTTTCCGACGCTCTACAAAGATGCTGTCCCCGCCGCAAAGCTACGACCCGGACAGCCTCGAGTTAGCACTGTGCTGAAAGTTGTGCTCGAGATAGAGGAACAGACTACACTCCGAGTGCCAACGCGAGAAGATTCCAAAGACTGGAAATGGAAAGGACGTACAGTCGCCTCAAGTGCGGCGGAGGCCAAACGAAAGAAAATGAAAGGCCATGCCAAGACCAATAAGGGCATGAAAGCGAGCCTTTCTCCGGAAGCACGCCCTTTTGGCTGGCTAGACATCAAAGTCCTGCCTGATTCAACAGTCAGTTTCGCTATGGATCTAGTGGCCAGTTCCAGTGGATACATGAATCACGTCGATTTAGATCTCAAAGGAGTTGAAATGTCGTCAAGTGTCAATCACGGCCTGCTTTGGCGGTCCCAGTCGCAGGTCGTATCCTGTGATCTTTCCAATCCTTTGCGCTGGAATGCTTTGCGTCAGTGGCACGTGGATATTAAAGGCAATGGCTTAGAGCTATTTATGCTCCGTGATCATATGTTCTTGTTGACTGACCTCGTCAACGACTGGACTTCCGGTCCTCTGGGAGAGTTTCATACCTTCGTTCCGTTCGAATACTCCATTAGTCTACGTTTCGCTGATTTCAAGTTATATCTCAATGCTAATGATTCAAACATAGTCAACAACCCATCAGATCTCGATGACAACACTTTCGTTATCGTTTGGGGTCAGAAACTGAAAGCTGATCTCGTGATTCCCTCGAAGAATTTCCGTCCTGCAAAAAATCGAGTAACGTTTAACATTGAGGCTACGGACGGAGGATTCGAGCTTCGGACCCCACCGCGCAATACGCAGCACACCTACCTAGATAGTCCAGATGTCGCCACTCTGAAGGATCTCAAGATAGATGGATCGTATAATTACTTCACCACTACGTCACCCAGCTTGACGGACATTCTTCTCCTAAATGTGCTTGGTGTAGCGCCCCAGTTTGATCTGTATGGTTTCCTGATACGATACCTCATGAAGATCAAAGACAACTACTTCGGCGACGACATACATTTTCGCACTTTAGAAGAGTATCAGAGTCAGATCAATACAACCGAAGGAAAGAATTTGGATGATCCAGCTTCTGGACAGCACAGCCGCCTCAGCAACGACCTAGATGTTATTCTGGGTGTTGCTGCAGAGGATTCATGTGTCCTTCTCCCCGCCCATCTCTACTCGTCCGAAAGGAATGTTAGGCTCGAGATCCCATCGATAGTCGCGGACCTTCGTATCACAAATTATTACATGGATCTTGCCATCACGTTTAGCCCTATTGCAATCTCGCACACGTCTCTTTTTGGCCTTCGCCAACCCGATCCTGAAGCCTATTCGAGTACACAAGTGTTCATTGATGGTCTTGAGGTCTTTGGTCATCGACTGTTCGGCTTGCCTCCTACTGAGCCAACATATGTCTGCAATTGGGACTTTGACATTGGATACGTACGAGGTGAATGTACGGTCGACTTCTTGCACTGTCTCTCAATGGCACTCAGATGTTTCACCTTGTCGTTCGACGACGCTGAGAATGCCCTGCCCCCTCTGAATCCACCAACAATACACGACGCTACATTTTTGCGTGCTCGAGTACGACCGATCCTCGTTGGACTACGGATCGACCAAACGGCCTTCCTTCTGAGTACTCAAGAGGTGAAATTTGAATACAATGACTGGGCCAGGTCACAGTTCTCCGATCGCTTGTACGTCCTTGTGCCAGATTTGGCTCTGAGTGTAATGGATGCACATGGGGTCTCAGTCGACCGAGGCCTCCAGAAATCCGTCGCCAATACTCATGCATACGTGAAATTGACATTGGAAATGAGTAAAGTCAAGCGTAAGCTGAACTTCAATGCGGACCGTCAGCTGCAACAAAACCACATTGCCCTGCACGATTCAAGAACACGTCGAGTTCCGTGGCTGGTCCTCGAACAGGACCCACCTGGTGCTTCGAGCAGTCGACCGACAAAGCATAGGCCACCCGCAATGACGTTTCCCTCCATGCCCGAACCAGTATCAACACCAGTTGATATGACGGCTGATGAAGATTCCACAATATCGGGCACAGGCTTGTCGACAAAAGCGTCTAGCCGTAGAGTTTCATTCCTAAGCACAGCCTCGTCAAGACAAGGCATGGTTGGTAAACGCGATAGTGGCAATAGAACATTGCATCGCCAGGAACGGCATGCAAGGAGTCCGCATTTACGCTCCCAGGGCACGGAATATCATCCCACAGTCGAAAGCCGGGTGAGTAAGGAAGCTATTTCACCCCTAGGACAGCAAGACTCTCACATCGACTCTTCAGTGAAGCAAGCTTATTTCGCTCGCTCGGGGCTGGCTTTCAGTAGTCCGTACAGACAACCATATTTCCCTCTCCTTGCGGTACAACCAGACATTAGCGATGTACCAATTTCGCCGAAGCACTTGCCCTTTGACGCATTCGTGACCGATAGCAATGCGTCGAACATTCCGAGGCCTCACATCTCCGATCAAGGGACGGAACAGTCCAGCTTCATGGTGAATTTAGGCCGAGGCGTTCAGACTTTGTGTACACCTAAAGCACTTCTGGTGGTGACTCAGTTGCTTGCACGGTTTCAGACTACCGACGTAGTGGCCCTTTTAGACACTTTGCAGCTTGATGCAATGACAGACGTTTTGAGTGCCGAAGCAAAATGCACGGAAGGCGTCCACATCTCGGACGTCAGGATCTTTGTGCCTTCGGTAGGTGTGAGATTTATCAGCACAAACAACAGCAAGCCAAATGATCCCAAGCGCAATGAGCGTTACGATGTGATCCTAGAGAACCTTGCTGTGACCGCAAGATCCTCCGAAAACTTCTCTAACATCTCGCCGTCTTCCCTGGGTTCTCAATCTTCCTTCCACATAGTCCTTGATAAAATGATCTGCTCAGCGAGGGAATCCAGGAGCAACAACGCAGAAGATCAAGCCATCATAAGCCTTTCTATTCGGGACCCAGTGGCGTGGATGTGGCGTGGCACGAGCTCAGCTGCTGAATTGCAGTTCCGGACCCTTGAGATAGAGAGCGCAAGCAGGAAAGTCAATTACATCTCATCGCTAGTCCAGCAGACTTTAGTCATGTCCGAGGACTTCGTCCAGCGTTTCAGGAAGATCGAGACCGAGCGAAAGTCCCGCCTTCGGCTACTGGTGCTACTACTTACTGTTGAGGGAAAAGATGTCCCAGATCCGCCATTCCTGACTAGGGCTTCATCTGTATTGCGTAGCGCGTCTCACCATCTTAGGACTAGCGACTCCTGGAAAATGATGTCTCGTCTTCGCTATCTACATTGTTGTCTGCCAGCTCATTCTCGAGACAAGATCCACGCGCAATGTGTCCATAAATTGGCTTCGTGCCCGGAGGATGCTGGAAGTCGGGTCATCGCGAGCTTCGACCACTGGCGTACGTGGGACTTGGCGCATGTACGATCAAGTCTCTTGATGCAAAAAGTGTTCGGTCAGTTGTTGACTCCACCTGCACGAGAGCTCCAAATGCCGGTGCCTACCAAAGCTACTCTTCGGGCAGGAGCTATCCAGATCCTTGTCGAGCCAGGGCCGAGTCAAAATAAAGTGGCCTTCGATGAACTTATCATCGGCGCTGCTCTACACCAACCCAATATACCCCAAGGTGTCTCTTCTACGTTGCAGCCGTCACCTTCGACAAGGTCAACGATTCAAGTACACTGTGCCAAGGTCGCCGTCCGTCTACATTGGGCTTTGTTGGAGCTTATTGAAGACCTGATAGAAACTATCCAAATTACACAGATCCCATATCGGAAGAACACAAGCAGCCTTGAAGCAGCTTCTCGTTTACCACCCCAAGACTCGTGCTTGCACCTTGCAGTGTCCTCCGACGTCAGCATTCTCACTTTGGATTCGAATAATCTTAATATAATATCGCTCTGCCAAGGCCTCCGCGTCTCCATCGTCTCCTTGCAAGAGGGCGCTGACTCGAGAATATCGCTATTAAGTGTACTCGTGGATGCCGATGCAGCGACCTCGGAGATCCAGCGTCGGTCTACGAAGTTGACTCTATACAAGCTGCGACAGCCAAAAGTCTTTGGCTCTAAAGATGGCGCAATAGACAGAACCGCCGAGAAACCGTGGAAAGTTGTTGGCTCCGGCGAAGACGTGACTTTCTCAATTTTGGCGAATCCGTTAGAGCTGATCGAGGTTGCCGACAGCGTCTTGAAACACGAAGTGGCACACATCACCCAATGGGCGAAATCTCTACAGCTTGCTAGTTCTCCTGTCCAATCGAAATTCGCCCACCAACATCCTGAGGGCCTTCTCCAAGTCCATGTCGCTTTGTCCCTTGACTCTTATCTGATAAGTCTTAATATGTTGCCATCTTTGACGTATCAAATTCGTGGTGAAGGAGCTCGCACTTCGCTCAGATCAGCGCTGCGTGGAAGATATGACTCTGTACTTGATATCGATCTCAAGCAGCATTTCCACATCTTCAAATCCTCGGTGAACGATCTGTCGAATGAGCTGTCCACTTTGCACATGCCCCCGGTCAACGTTCGTCTTAGTATTAATCTAGACCCAAGCCAGAGGTCAGTGGTATTCAGTGCTCTGGTGGAAAGCATTGTCTTTAATGCATCGGCTGTGCATGCCATACTCACTACTGTCAATCGACCGGAAATGGCCAGCCTTGGAGAGAACATAAGGGAGGGTGCCTCGTCAATTCAAGATCGTTGTAAGCAAATCTTCGGCACAACGAAGTCTCGCAATGAAATCTTGTCAACGGAGCCATTTCTGTACAATGGGTATGTTACTTTATTGAGTCTGGCAGTACAAGCCAATACATCAGACGCTTTGTCTGCTGCACCGGGAGCCCAATTGCAGATAACGATGGGCCGTATATCACTAAAAACAACGAACAGAAATTTGGGCCATGGAGCCGTAATGAGGTTTCCCGAAGCGGAGGTTCAATTCAAGGGCATACAGCTGAAGCTCTTGCGCTTTGATAATGACGAAGTACGTGCGTGTGGTAATGTAGCAATTGGGGCTGTCATGAGAAGCACGTCGAAGCCAAATGACCAAGGTGAATTCGTCCGTGCCTTCCAAATCCAAAGTAGCAGCCTCCAGATCAATGTGTATACCGACACCGCTTCTGTTGCAGTGGCCATACTTGCTAATCTGCAAGATACCCTCAAGACTGTGGATTTGTCACATGAAGTCCAAAATCTGAGAAGGTTGAGGCATGCAAGACTGCGCAGGAATGCTGCAGATCATGGTACTGTCCGGAAAGACGAACGTCATGGTAATGCGGAAAGGGCTGCTCTTTTCAGTTCGATGTATTCTTTGGAGATGACAAACATTTGTGTCGCGTGGAAGATCGGAAGCTCTATTCCCATTTCTCCAGGTCGGGAGCCTGAGGATCTTATCCTTTCCTTCGCCAAAATTGACCTTTCCACCAAGAAGGACAATGCGGCTCGCCTGCTCATTCAGGACTTTCAGCTGCAAATGGTCCCTCATTCAAAATCATCGACGGTTCGATCCCAAAACTCAGCCCTTCTGCCAGAAGTAGTCTTCAACGTGGCCTACGTATCCACAGGACAAGACCGCAGACTAGCGTTCCAAGCTGCCGGCAAATCACTGGACCTTCGGCTAACATCCCATTTCATTCTGCCGGCGAGCGATCTGCGACGTTCCATTGCCTTGTCAATTCAGCAAGTGCGAACAGCGACGTCCGATTGGAATGCATCTGCTACTACGGGTGGCGGTCAGAGAAAGGCGTTGTTGAGCGACAAAAAGCTTGCTTCACTTCTTGTAGATGCCGATTTTGCAGGTGCCGTGGTATTTGTACAAGGCCGAAGCCTTGTAGACGCCCATTCACTGGCTCTCAATGTCCTTCGAGGCGTGCGGCTTCCACAGCACGGTCGTTACAATCAATTCACCCCAGACAATGCAAACAACAGCAGTACAACCCTGCGCGCGCCTGGGATCGCCTTTAAGGTCGAGTATCGAAACGGAGGGCCCAATGATCAATCTCTCAATGCGGAAATGAAGATCGATGCATCTTCAAATATCTTGTATCCGACCGTTGTGCCTTTGATCATGGAAATTTCATCAAGTATCAAGGACGTCGTTGGAGACTCTGGCGTACAAGAACAGGCGGCCAAGCCTAGCCTCCCTCAGCCGAAGTTCCTTGGCGATGAGAGACTCCGCGGCGCAGATCCCGTTGCCATTTTTGGTAATTGCAAACTCAACTTGGGTCTTCGCATCTGCGGGCAGGAATTCAGCCTAAGCTGCCAGCCTATTGCACGTGTTGCAGCGACTGCACGTTTCGATGATATCTATATCACTGTCAATACTGTCCAGTCAAATGAGCACGGGAGATTCTTTACGGTGTCTGCTGCTTTTACTAGGCTACATGCATCTGTACAGCATGTCTACTCGCGAGAGTCAACCGGCAATTTCGAGGTCAATTCGATTGTCGTGTCTTTAATGAACAGCAAGCACGTTAGCAACGCCAATGGCATTTCTGCAATTCTCAACATCAGCCCGATGAAAGCACAGGTCAACGCGAAACAGTCACAGGACTTCTTGCTGTTCCGAGAAATATGGGTGCCTCCAGAGATCCGACGATCTGCTTCCGCTGCTGCGCCGGTGCCGGCATCAGAATCTCAGGCCTTCATTGTGCAACGCTACCAGCACATCGCTGCGGCGGGTGCGTTCCCCTGGAACGCCACTGTCTCCATTGCTGAGCTCGACGTTCAGCTGGATCTGGGACAGTCGCTCGGTAAATCTGCTTTCATCATCACCGGCTTCTGGATCTCGTCCAAGAAGACGTCAGATTGGGAGCAGAATTTATGTATAGGGTTCGAAAAGGTGGCAATTAACAGCACTGGCAGAATGAGTGGCTTCGTCGAACTGCAAAATTTCAGGGTTCGCACATCAATACAATGGCCGATTGTAGAAAGGGCGCACAATCAGACGCCTTTGGTACAAGCTTCTCTGGCCTTTGATGGTCTGCGAGTCAAGGCTTCGTTCGACTATCAGGTCTTCTTGATCGCAGATATCACTATTTTCGAGTTCCTCATGTACAACGTCAGGGACCTCCAGCACGTCGGCCGTGACAGACTGGTCGGCGTTCTTGATGGGAACAAAGTGCAGGTATTTTGCACCACGACCAGCGCTTCACAAGCCATTGCTTTATACCAAGCGTTTCAGCGACTATATCAGGAAAAGTTAACGGCGTATGAGACATCTCTTAGAGACATTGAGAAGTTCCTGCGTCGAAAATCTTCTATCAACCCATTGGCTATGCGTGCAGCTGTAAAGAGGCAAGGGGAGACTGGCGCAGAAGTCAACAGATCGCCCCTGCGGCTGCAAACCAATGTGGTAGTGACGCTCAAGTCAGTCAACATTGGAGCTTTCCCCAGCACCTTCGTCGACAGTCAAATCCTCAAATTGGAAGCGTTCGATGCTTCAGCTCGCTTTGCGGTTGTCCTAGAAGACGAAAAGATCCATTCCACCCTTGGCATGACACTGGGGCAACTTCGCGTCGCACTCGCGAACGTCACTCGGGCTAGCGTTCCGAAGATATTGGGTGAAGTCTCGATGGTAGACGTTGTGGCCTCTGCAACAAATTCGGGGGGTGGTACCATTCTAAAAGTGCCAAAAGTGGTAGCGAGTATGGAGACATGGCAGAGCCCTGAATCGACCCACATCGATTACATATTCAAAAGCTCTTTTCAAGGCAAGGTCGATGTGGGCTGGAACTACTCGCGGATTAGCTACATTCGAGGTATGTGGACCAGTCACGCCCGTTCATTGGCACAGCGCCTAGGGAAACCTCTACCACAGTCCGCTGTCCAAATAACAGGCGGACCTCGGCTCGAAGGAGAAGATGAAAGTCGGAGACCTGGTGAGGGCGAACAAGAGAAAATTACAGCAGTTGTCAATGTGCCTCAATCGAAGTATCAGTACACAGCTCTACAGCCACCTATCATTGAGACACCGCAGTTGAGGGATATGGGCGAAGCGACGCCACCGCTGGAGTGGATTGGACTTCATAGAGAGAGGTTACCAAACCTGACTCACCAGATAGTCATCGTGACACTTCTAGAAGTAGCCAAGGAAGTGGATGACGCTTACTCGAAAATTTTGGGCTCCTCGTAGCCCGCGTGAGTGGGTAAGAAAGCATTGATCAGGAGTCTTCAGTGTGTCCATCAGGAAAAAACAGAAAAAAAGAACAAAAAAAGAACAAAAAAAGGGGTTCCTGGCCTTTGCTGGAGCGCAAGAAGAGTTCTTTGGAGTTTGAGCTTTCGCTTTTTGACTACTAGATAGATACCCCTGCATACAATAGCACTTTGTTTGTACCATAGCGGGACGATGTGGACAATCACATAGAATGAATGACCAATATTTTAGAACCTTTACTTTGTTTCTCGCCCTATGACTCATGGGAACGGAGTGGTGTGACTGTCGAAGACAAATCCCACAGTTGAGTCTCATCTCTGACAATCCCGGCATGACTCTTTTCACTCTTAAAGTACCTTAGTCTTTGCCTTCACTAGCGCACAAATATCAAGCGAGGGCGGGGCAAAATTTTAGTGTGAGCTTGTTAATCAAATTATCCCACAGTTACCTTCTTCAAAACCCCCCTCACCTTTCAACATCACCGCAAAATACATTCCCCAACTTTTACATCCTCTGCTTCCTCCGCCGAAGCTCTCGACGTTGTTCGAGATATTCAGCGCCACAGGTCGAGCGAGCCCTCGATCCTTCACAGCGGGGTAATACCTCATACACAAATATCGAAGCCGTTCAGAAGAAATCCGCCAAGATGGTCAAGTAAGTCGTTCCAAAACACGAAGTAGACAAAGGGTATCAAGATGCTCTCTCCACAGCCTTGTAAGCTGTTGGACTGCTGCAACGCTTCACCTGCAGCTTTGACGCGCAAAACTCCCACCAGATCTCTCCCACTTCCCATCAGCGTATCAGAACTTTATGGCTAACACTATAATTTACACAGCTTTACCGTGGAAGAGGTATACACAAAGTCGAGATTGTATAGCTGGGATCTTTGGCAGGATGGCTAACAGTTCCCAAGATCCGTGCGCTCATGGACAAGCCGGCAAATATCCGAAACATGTCGGTCATTGCCCATGGTAGGCCTCCATCTTCACGCTTTTTTGTTCAACTCTCCATTAACCACGCATTTTGATAGTCGACCACGGAAAATCCACCCTTACCGATTCCCTAGTCCAGCGCGCCGGTATTATCTCCGCCGCCAAAGCAGGGGAGCAGCGTTTTACGGATACCCGCAAGGATGAGCAGGATCGATGCATTACCATCAAGTCAACTGCCATCTCCCTTTACTCCCATATGGCCGATGAGGATGATCTAAAGGATATCCCTCAAAAGGTCGAGGGAAACGATTTCCTGATCAACTTGATTGATTCACCCGGCCACGTTGATTTCTCTTCTGAAGTTACTGCTGCTCTCCGTGTCACCGACGGTGCTCTCGTTGTGGTCGACTGTGTCGAAGGTGTGTGCGTCCAAACCGAGACCGTCCTTCGACAGGCCCTTGGTGAGCGTATCAAACCTGTTTGTATTGTCAACAAGGTCGACCGCGCCCTTCTTGAGCTCCAGGTCTCGAAAGAGGACTTGTACCAATCCTTTTCAAGAACCATCGAGTCCGTCAACGTGGTCATTTCCACATACTTTGACAAAGCACTTGGAGATGTTCAGGTCCAGCCGTATCAGGGCACTGTGGCTTTCGGGTCCGGTCTTCACGGATGGGGTTTCACTGTCCGCCAATTCGCCGTCAAATATGCCAAGAAATTCGGTGTGGACAAGTCCAAGATGATGGAGCGTCTATGGGTATGTATCAGACAGACCCTTTATATGGCCTCATGATGAAGCTAACGGTTACTACAGGGCGACAACTACTTCAACCCAAAGACCAAGAAATGGACCAAAGTTGGGGAGCACGAAGGCCAACCTCTAGAGCGTGCCTTCAATCAATTTATCCTGGACCCAATTTTTAAGATCTTCGGCGCTATCATGAACTTCAAGAAGGACGAGATCCCAACTCTGTTGGCGAAGCTCGAAATCAAGCTTTCTGGTGAAGAGAAAGATTTGGAGGGCAAGCAGCTTCTCAAAGTCGTCATGCGCAAATTCTTGCCTGCTGCAGACGCTCTCCTGGAGATGATGGTTATTCACCTGCCGTCTCCCGTGACTGCCCAGAAATACCGGGCGGCAACACTCTACGAAGGTCCTTCTGATGATGAGTCGTGTATTGGCATTCGAGACTGCGATCCCAAGGCCCCACTCATGCTTTACGTTTCAAAGATGGTTCCGACCTCTGACAAGGGTCGTTTCTATGCCTTTGGACGTGTTTTCTCCGGCACAGTGAGATCTGGCTTGAAAGTCCGTATCCAAGGCCCCAACTACATCCCTGGTAAAAAGGAGGACTTGTTCATCAAGGCCATTCAACGCACCATTCTCATGATGGGCCGCAACATTGAGCCAATTGAAGACGTTCCAGCTGGTAACATTCTTGGATTGGTCGGTGTAGACCAGTTCCTGCTCAAGTCTGGTACTCTCACAACATCGGAGACCGCCCACAACCTCAGAGTCATGAAGTTCTCTGTTTCACCTGTAGTGCAGCGATCCGTGGAAGTGAAGAACGCCAATGATCTGCCAAAGCTTGTGGAAGGTCTCAAGCGCCTTTCGAAGTCAGACCCCTGCGTCCTAGCCTTCATCAATGAGGCAGGTGAGCACATTGTAGCTGGTGCTGGAGAATTGCATCTGGAGATTTGCCTCAAAGATCTGGAAGAAGATCATGCCGGTATCCCTCTCCGTGTCTCAGATCCTGTCGTGTCCTACCGTGAATCTGTCGGTGGAGTTTCAAGTATGACAGCCTTATCGAAGTCGCCAAATAAGCACAATCGTCTGTATGTCACGGCACAGCCATTGGAGGAAGAGGTCTCCAGAGACATCGAGTCTGGCAAAATCAGTCCCCGTGACGATATCAAGGCTCGTGCTCGTGTTTTGGCCGATGACCATGGCTGGGACGTTACGGATGCACGAAAGATTTGGTGTTTCGGACCTGAGACGACTGGCGCCAATTTGCTCGTTGATCAAACCAAAGCTGTGCAATACCTGAACGAAATCAAGGATTCCGTCGTCTCCGGCTTCCAATGGGCGACGAAGGAAGGTCCTGTTGCTGAGGAGCCTATGCGCTCGGTCCGTTTCAATATTATGGACGTCACACTACACGCTGACGCTATCCACCGTGGTGGTGGGCAGCTGATTCCTACTACCCGGCGTGTGCTATACGCTGCAGCTCTCCTTGCCGAGCCTGGTATCCTTGAGCCCGTTTACTTGGTTGAGATTCAGGTCCCCGAGCAAGCCATGGGCGGTATCTATGGTGTGCTTACCCGAAGACGAGGCCACGTCTTCTCAGAAGAGCAGCGACCCGGAACACCTCTTTTCAATGTCAAGGCCTACTTGCCCGTCAATGAATCTTTCGGCTTCACCGCTGACTTGCGCTCGCATACTGGTGGGCAGGCCTTCCCTCAATGCGTGTTCGACCATTGGCAGATCTTACCTGGTGGTTCGCCTCTTGATCCGTCCACAAAGCCAGGTCAGATTGTGCAGACGATGCGAAAGAGAAAGGGTATCAAGGAAGTCGTGCCTGGTGTTGAGAACGTAAGTCAATCTCCAACCCTTGTCGACCACCTTCTGGCTAACGCTTTTTGGCAGTACTACGACAAGCTATAGAGAGCGCGCATCATGGGCCATACACTTAGATCAAAAGTCATATGCGCATATGCGTGAGCGTTTCCGCGCCCACATGAGATTCGCCATGGTTACGAATTCGAGGAAACGATTCATGTCAACGAGGAAGCGAACTGTGCTTTTGAGGTATTAGAGAAGTTGGAAGTTTTTGAATTTTCTTCGAGATTTGGTGCGAGAGTCCAGCTCATGCAGGAACAATGTATATAGCTTGGGCTTGAATTGAAAAGTCCGCATCAAATCTGTGCTCTTGTCAAGTGATGTAATTGCATTATACGTGTAGCCCGATATTCTTCACAGAGACAGGTAAACGTAGCGATAAAAGCAGTATACCCCTATATTCTTACGGCGGACAACGGCTGACACTACGACAAAACTACTTTTTTTTCTTATTCTATATTTCTTCTTCGCGATTTCTAGTAACCCTTTTACAAATATTCTTTTACAAATATTCTCAACTTTTCGAGAGGTACTTTTTAAGGTATTCTTTAGGGGTTACTCTCCGGGGTACTCTTTCGGGCACTCTTCCGGGTACTCTCCTAGGTATTCTCTCGGATACTTACAACGGATAATAACTCATACTACAATCGAATATTTTATAAAGTTCTTCACAAAAAAAATTATTATTCTACAGGACTTTCCGCGGAATTTCCCGCGAATTCTTTTTTCGAGTATTTTTTCGAGTAATTGACTCGAGTAAATCTTTAAGAAACCTCTCGAGTAATTCTTTAAGTACTCTCTAAAATACCCCCCTTGAGTATTCTCTAAAGTATACTCTTAAATAATCTCTTAAATCCTTCTTAAATACTCTCTAAAGAATTCTCTAAAGTATCTCTTTAAAATACTTTTTAAAAAAATCTCTTTAAGTATCTCTTTAAAGTCGCGGAGGAAAAATTTAAATTAAGAGAAGAAATTGATTTTAATTTTATAATAGTCTTAGTCGTTATTCGTCGTAATTCTTAATTATTAAAAGATTAATAAGTTCTCGTAAGTACTCTTCTCTCTTAAAAATTAAAAATTAAAAATTAAATCTTCTAAAATAACTTTATAACGATAAATTATAATTTTCTAAAAGCTTTATAACTATTAGAAGATATAATAAAGATTAAGTTTTTTAAATTTTAAAATACTCTAATTATCTATTATATAATAAAATAAAAAATTTATTAAATTCTTAATTTTTTTAAAAAAATTCTTAGCGATTATAGAATAATCGAGATAATTTTTTAATATAGAATATATATACTTAGTTTACTTTTAACTATATAATTTCTAAGAGAAGAAAAAAGAAATTCTTAATTCTAATATACTTTAAAATTAAAAATTAAAAATTTTAACTAATATAATTTAGAAAATTTTTAAGATTTAATAAATATAATATAGATTAAATTTTAAATTTTTTAAAAGATTTAAATTATTCGCTATATTATAAAATAGAATAATAGCGAATTTTATAAAATATTCTTAATAGCTTTAAAATAATCGAGATAAAAAAAATTAATCTTAAAATTTATTTAATAGTCGAGATAATTTTTTATTATAATATTAAATTAATATTTTAATATTTTACTTACGTTTTATTTAAATACTTTAATAATAAATACTTAAATATATAATATATAAAATATATAATTTCTAGATTATAATTAATTATAGTTATAAATCTATAGAAGAATAATTAATATTCTAATTTTTAATCTTAAGATATACTAGAACTATAGAACTTTTTTCTCTATTTTTTTAAGTATTATTATAAGAATTACGATAGAAAAGAAGTAAGTATATTCTTAAATTAGTAAAAGTAGTTATAAAGTATAAAGAAAGATATTTCTTTAAAAGATATAAGTTAAATTATTAAAAGCTATCGAAGAAGAAAGCTAAAGAAAGCTAAATCGTTAAGTTACGTTAAGAATATAATTAAAAACGTAATAATTATATAATTAGAGATATATTATATCTTATAATATTTAAATTAAAATATTTTAAAAATCTTAAAATTAATTAATTATTATTATAAGTAAGAGTAATAAAAATAATAGATTATAAAGAGTAATAATTATAAAGATATTTAAGAAATTTCAATCCCTGTTTCCTAGGGGGGGGGTGCTTGCGGGAACTTTTTTATTTTCTAATAATTAAGAATATAGGGGTAAGCTAGCGGTCAAACTATTTGCCGGCGGAAAAATAGCAAACAAAGTGAAGTACATTGTTATATTTTACTTCACATTTGCCTTAGGCCTAGTTCTAGAGCTGAGCTCTGTACCATCTATTCCGGCCAAGTCGATAGTTGACCCTTCACCTCACAAGATGCTGATCGAAGAAGAAGATGCCGCAGAGTTGAAAACATGGGTGGTGAAGAGACTCGAGAACATGTATGTGAGGATCCATTGCTGAGAAGGTTTCCTTCCAAACTTCTAGATAATTCCTCATGATCTCGAGTCTTGCTGACTGCCGCAATTTTGAAGCTCCGACGCAGATTCCGACGTCCTGGCAGATTACGTTATAGCTTTGATGCGCGCAGACACCCCAGAGTCAGAGCTAAGGACGACCGCAGTCGATTGCCTGGAAGATTTCCTGAAAGACAGTATGTAGGAAATCCCAAAAGATGCACTACATGCTAGCGTGAGCTTCAGGCTGACCGTGGCCCTGTGTTATAACCTAGACACTGCCACATTCGTCGACGAGATATTCAAGGCAATCCATACCAAATCCTACTCTCCCAGGAATTTGATTCCTCAGAGCGCTTCGTCCACCAGTCCAACTTTCGCAGCTCCCTCAGGACCTGCTGGCGCATACGGCTCACTTGGCGTTGGGCGAGGGTTGCACGGGGGATATCAAGAGTCAAGGAAGCGCTCGTACAATGACAGACAAGAAGAGGGTCCTGGGCTTGACTCGCATTATTCGCGAGGTGAGCGCCAAATAAAGCAGATGCGGAGAGGAGGCAGGGGTGGTAGAGCAGATGCATTCGTGCCTAGAAATGGAAGAGGAGGCTTTCAAGAATCCATGTATCCTCAAGCACGAGCCTCACCGGTAGCACTGGGCTTTCAAAATATGCCAATGCCGCCGCCTTTCGATCCCAATGATCCGCTTGCGACAATAATGGCCATGCAAGCTATGGGATTACCGCCGCTTCCTGGCATGCCACCGCTTCCTCAAGCAGGCTCACCGAACGTTTTACCCCAATTCGGAGGGCAAAGCCTATCACCTTCACATGGGCCCCGGAGAAACACTCATAGGGAGCGATGTAGGGATTACGATGAGAAATTCTTTTGCGAAAGGGGGGACGCTTGTCCCTACGAGCACGGCACAGATCGACTGGTCGCATCTGGTCAAGACGGTAGGTTTCCCATCTATGTGAAGCGGGTGGAGCTAATGTTGTCCAGAATACGACCCGAAGAATTCGACCATTATGAACCCGCAGGCTACCTCCCCTACGTCGAATGGACACGGTGGATCACAGGAGCACCGAGGAAATGGGTATACTCAAGGAAGAGGAAGAGGAGACCGGGGGGGATTCTTGCAGCGGCGCAACAACCACCGGGCCGACTTTTCTCAAGCGGGTCCCAACCACGACCGATCCATAACCACTATTGTTGTCGAACAGATTCCAGAGGAGAAATTCGACGACCAATCTGTCCGAGACTTCTTTTCCGAGTTTGGCAACATTGAGCAAGTCACAATGCAGCCATATAAACGCCTTGCTTTAGTCAAGTACGACGATTACATGGCTGCCAGGAGAGCCTATGAAAGCCCGAAAGTTATATTCGAAAATAGATTTGTTAAGGTCTACTGGTATAAGCCCGGTGGATTACCTACTCCACCAGCGACTGCCAAAGGAACCGTAAAGTCGCCTCACATGTCCAAGGACGAAGGACCACCCTTTGACAGAGAGAAGTTCGAGCGAGACGCGGTGGCAGCTCAGAAGAAGCTGGAGGAGAAGAAAGTCCAGATGAAAGACGTGGAAGCAAAGAGGCATGCGCTAGAGAAGCAGAAAGAAGAATTGGCCCAGAAGCAAGCCGAAGAGAAGCGGAGGCTGCTCGAAAAGTTAGCGGCAAAGGTTGTGGCGCCTAACGGCGATACATCAATGACTGACGCTACAAATGGAAGCCATGGGGCGGACGACAACAAAGTGAGCGCGCACACGAAGGCGTTACGGGAGAAAGTCGCAGAACTGGAGGCAGAGGCTAAGAGCCTGGGCCTGGATTCAGCGCTAAGCGATACGCCTTACCAATATAGAGGACGAGGAAGAGGCAGGGGTCGGGGTTCCTATCGCGGTACGTATTTTCCGAGTCCATGTTGAGTCTTGAGACACGTCTTGGAGCCGCCTATTCTGTAGACATGTTCCAAGGCTCGATAGACAACCTCGAACAGGCAATACTGACTCTGAATCTACTAGGTTGGGAAGGGTTTGCTTCGGGCTCGGAATCATTCAGGGGAAACCCTCGTGGCAGAAGCGCTTTTGTGGGCAGAGGCGGTGGGAAATACAACTTGGATAATCGAACGAAAAAAGTGGCGGTCACGGGCGACCTCAGTGGAGAGAAAGACGAGGCTCTGAGGCAGTATTTGCTGGTAGGTCTTCGACTTTGGACTCTTTGGCTGACACTTTGGAGACTGATGTTGTGGAAATGCAGGGAGTGGGCGAGTTCGAGGCCATCGAAGGTCATCCGGATCGCCCTGATACCCAAGTCGTTACTTTCAAAGACCGACCCACGGCAGAGACCTTTATGTACGGCGTTCATGATATTCCATTGGTCGGAAAACTGGATTTCGCGTGGTTTAATGCTCCAGGTGTGTCTGGCCAACCGACACCGAAACAGGCGGAGACCGATGGCGACACAGGAATGGGTGGCACAAGGGCGGATGATCATCACGCTGACAAGGGAACTGTGTTGGCCAACACCGAAGTCGACTATGACGTAGCGGAAGACGAGGTGTGGTAAATCATGCTGCTGACTGTTTGCCCGCATACAACCCTTTCAATAGATTCTGAGCAACACTGCCAATCTTTTCCATTGCCAACCTTTTCCTTTCGTGCTTGCAGTGATTGATTTTAATTCAACGTCCTATCGCCAGCAATCGAATTTCGATGCTATCTACAGTCTATCGTCGATTGGAATGGGTGGGTTTCCCACTTCGCTTGAGGCCTGAAAATAGTTCATCTCGCTAGCCTTTTCTGAGTACTTTGGTCGTCATTAATCCTCATAGCAGAGGACAGAGCTCCAAAGCCCGACCGGTCCTGAGAATGCCGAAAGCTCAAGCGCTCAACAACCTCTGGCTTGCGACCACACAATACGAACAGTCTGCGTTCAGATTACATCTGTGAGCGGCGCCAGATTGAAGGTTTTAGACTTTTGCTTTTTAACAGGCCGCTTTCATCCTTTTGCCTTGAATCACGAAAAGACCAGAAAGGATCAGAAAGGGCACTTCTTTGGGTGGCGCCAGGCTCTACGTACGCTCATTGTGTCGGTGCTTCGCTCGACTATCCCGTTGTTGGTCTTTTTGATACAAGTAACATCAGAACTTTTCTTGAGCAGGTCTCAAATCCAATTCATGTGTCCACAGGTCTGGTTCCTGGTTCGCTAGCCATAGATACGTTTTACTTTGTTCGACGGTCAGTACGTATCCACAATGTTCTCAGATCAAAGTTGGCTCACCCCACGCTTTCAGCCTTCATGACTTTGCCCTGGTGCTGTGCTTCCCCATCTTCGTCCTTGATCCCGCTTGGTAAGTTGTCGGAATTAGCAGGATTTCTCTAGGTGGAAGTTGATTCAAAGACAGGGCCTTATCCTCTACACTTCTCCCGCCCCAGAATACAGGATGCGATGACTTGGCGATGTACTTACCCGTTTGCTATTGTATGTACGACATGTATGCCACCTAGATATTTTAGAGTCAACATTTTCAGTCCAATTCTATGGTTGAACAACAAGACGTATCTGTTGGATAGAAGACTCCAAGTATGTCTTGCGACTCTGTGCACGGTACACAATGCGAAAGATCCAATACAAAAGCGCACTTACTCGGCGAGTACTCTTTCGCTAAGGCTTGGGCCAGCGACCGTGCCCCTGACCGCGAAGCTCCATATGCCGCAAAGTTCGCATTCGTTCTCATGGCCCCGAGGGTCCCAGTAAAGATCAGTGTGCCTTTCTTTCCACCACCGTCTGCCAGAAGTGTCTGTCCGTGTTGGTCGAAGAGCATCCTCACTACCTCCTTTGAAAATGCCATTGCACCTCCAACATACGTGTTGAGCGATTCGGTGAAATCGGAATGAGATTCCTCAAGAAAAGGTTTCTATCGTTTGCATGTCAGGTGAAGTAAGAATCAAAGACGTCAGAGCAGTGTGTTACCTTGGAGGCATGTTTGACATGAAAAACAGCCACCTTGAGCTTCAAGTCCTTGAAGGAGCTATGGGAGCGGATGTCGGAGAAAGCTTTGGAGAGCTTCTCGGGCGAGGTGTCGGTGGGAAAGGCTTCTACTGGGTTGGGAGTGGACGAGCGGATTCCTTTCGCTACCGCATTCAGATTATCCGAATTTCGAGCCAGAACAGCGACGGCAAGATTTCCATGAGATGGATGTGCGAGAATTCTACATATGCCTGCGCCGCTGGTAGGTCCCTGTGTAGAAAGGCTGTCAATGCCTCTATGGGGATGGCGAGGCTACTGTGGGAACTGACCGCTCCAATGAGTATTGCCAGACCCTAATAGAAGCAAACATTAGTATATTGATGTTCTTGTATAGACATTTTTAAATTTTTGGGACATACGGAGGGAGGCATGATTTGCTTTTACTCTCGATGCTAACGAGGTTGTTGTGCCCTTGAAATGTGTAGGAGGAAGTAAAGAAGTAAAAGAAGTAGTCAATGTATGTTTGTATTTTCTTTTTCTATCAAATCAATAAGTATGAGCGGTAAACATGAAGAAGAGAATCGATGACATTAAATTCCCCTTCGTCGGCAAGCAGCCCGAGGTATTTCGTCATAACGAATTGACTTTCCGGAATTCCGTGCTAAAAGGGAAAGGGGTTAATACTCGGGAGTATCTCAGATATGTGACGTGTCAAGTGCGACGTGTGAGTGAGAAAAAAAATTAAAAAAATGACAATCTTTCAGACGCCTTTATCATCATCATCATCATCATCGTCGTCGTCGTCGTCGTGCGCAAGTACAGCAGTCTGAAAAGAGGTAGCGATCCCAACTATAGCGCGTACCCTATCTTCGTCCATCTCTCGCTTGTTATAATCCTCATGAATCTGGTATCCAGTCACGGTTGCTAGAATCTCTTTCCTCGCTTCGGCAGATTCGGGTATGGTATTGGCACGCCAGGTAACGTGACCGTCTGGACGGCAGACGCCAAATTAGTTCCCCATATGCTATGAGCGGCTTGCTCGGATCGCAGAACAGCGTGGTTCAAGGGAATGCCGAATTGCTTTCGTGCCATGGGAACAAACCCGTCCACCGCGGTGCTGTCGGAACATGAGTCCACAAAGTCAACAAGGGTCCATTGGCCAGCAATGAGATCAACAGTACTTGTTTTACCGTCCTTGAGAAAGACATGAGGAGCTCGGTGGCCGGGTCTGGTACCTATCGATTGATCAGCGTGACAGAATCGGAATATGAGACAGATGGAATAAGAATGGGGGGTCCATACTAGAGACGTAAGCTTTCACATCATATGGCGGTTCCTCGGTATTGTCAGAATATATTGCAGCGGACTTGTAGCGAGAGTCCAGTTCTATTCCTCGATCCCGACACTCGCTACCGGATGTGGTAATGTAGGAAGAAAGCTTCTCCCGCAACGCAATGCCGGCGGGAGTGCCAGCGGTCAGAAGCTTTGGGTTATCCTGATACCACTATTTCCTTGGTTTATGCTCGATGACATGGCGCCTGCAACGCTCTAGGCGGTCAATCATGGTTGACCTTTGTTCATATAGGTACGAAGCCAGTAGGTATGGGCCTCCATAACCCTTGAGAACGGCGGCTAATCCCCAGCTAACGGCAAGGGCATCTTCGACGCCAGAATTCATACCGTACCCGCCGTGCGGTGGATCCTTGTGAGCTAAATCCAGTCAGACATATGACCTCTTGAAGATGGATCAACATACCGGCATCTCCTGCTAAGATAACCGCTCCTGATTCAGATACGTAGTGTTCCGCAAGAGCGAGGTTAGGGTGCCATATGTTACAGAAAAGGATCTGGCCAATCTTCATGGGATATTTGCCTGCCGCCCCTCCTAAAACCCGGTAAATAGCCTCTTGGGGGTCTAAGGTTGTTGCCGTGATGTTTGGGTTGTCCAGCATTAAGTGCGCGGTGAAGGTATCTCTATATGGCTGTCAGTCTTTTAACGTCCAAAGAGAGGGGACAATCCAATACACTGCGTCCTGGGCAATCAAGAAGCTCTGTTGTGGTTTCTAGGGTTAGCTGATCTCTTCCAGGACCGAACCAAATTTGGTCCCATTTCCAGAGGTTGGGAAACATCCCATACATCTCAGATTCCTAATCGAACTTATGGCAAGGATTTGAGATGTACTCACCCTGTCAGGAGGAAAGGCATGCCAAAACGACCAAAACGACGCAATTTCGCAAACTCTCTGGATCGGAAATGGACGAGGAGCATTGTCGCAAGCCTAAATCAATCGATTCAGTGTGCAACCGTTGGGAGGGAGGAGTGGATTCTAACATTTGTCCTCCAACCATTTTGACTCCCGCGCTCTTTCGTACTCGACTCTGCCCTCCATCGCGGCTCACCAAAATTCGACTTCGAATCACTCTTGTGTCATTGGCTTGATCCGTGAAAGTTGCGGTAACTTCCCCGTCGCTCTCTACAAGAGATTGGAACTCGTAGCCAAATCGACAATCAATCAGCGGTTGCTCAAGGCACTTCCGCTTCATCCATGTCTCGAAAATTATCTGAGAACATCGCTGACCGGTTTCGGCTGGTTGACTCCCATTGTTATTGGCTTGGATTCCATCCTGCCAGTCTTTCATCGAGGGTAATGCCTGTCCCCATGATCAGCGCCATATCACTAGAACATTCCACCAATCAGATACCCAATTTGCAAGCAGCAGCCCGTCTTCATTCATACTTGTGTAAAAATGAGAGTCGGACTGATACTCGTCTGGCACTGCACCCTTTTGATCTGGATACTCCTGGGCGATACCCCACGTTCGTAGGATTTCCATCGACCTGCAGTTGGTAAGATCCATCTTGGGCCACTTTGTGATTTCTAGATTCTTCTCCGCAAGCACACAGGCAATTCCTGAACGAGCCAGACCATAGCCGGTGAGTAAACCAGTGGGGCCGCCCCCAACGACGAGAACCGAGACTTGCTCATCGTCGCTTGATATTTTGTCGTCGCTATGGCTTGGCCCTGTCATCAGTGCAAATGTTGAAGAGGATTCAACAGAAATGTGGGTGATACGATAGTACATTAGGATTATTGGTCTGAATGAAGTTAGACGCAAATGTCAGACTCATTTGGTCATCTTCAGCCGCATAGCACTCAGGCAAGGAAGGAAAAGTGACATTAAACGGTAGTGAGCTGAGGTTATGATTGCGCAAGCTACGTATACACGACGGTCAAGGTGAACAAAGTGCTGGAGTGTGCGATGTTTTTGGGACAAAGCCTGCTGAAGCCTCCGACTAGAGATGTTTCCTTGACATCATACGCATAAAGCTCTATGCTCATGGCAGACGGTTGCACATTGCGCCAGCGACGGCTAATGGCCTGGAAAAATGGGTCCATAATGGACGCGAGTCGATTGCGAACCTTGTGTGGCACGCTCTATGGGTAGCGCAGTATCTTGACATAAACGTCGCATCAATGATTTCATAGTGACTGCTTATACGTCTCGATCTCAGCTCTGGAGCTTCTTCTCCCTTTTGAAACAGAGGAACTCGCTCCTAGTGCCTTCCCTTAGTCTTTTCAAGACCATCCTCATCTCGGGTAACTCTCCTTGCAATCGTTTACTTGCATCTGGCGTTGTGCCAGCGTCAAGCTCGATATATATCTTGGACTGAGTCTCGCTCGCTTTCTCTGTCGTGTACTGACTCAAAGTCTGAGCGACGAACTCGACGTCAAGCGTTGCTTGCATGAGAGCCGCAAGGGGATATCGCGACCTTTGTTTAAATGCCTCTAGGAAAGCTAGACTCATCTGTTCGAGGAGGTGAGAGAGAATCTGATTGGTCAATGGTGCCGCGGTTGTGGAGACTTCAGTGTGCACATAGACTAGTAGCAATAACGATTCGTAGACATATGGCTGGACGGCGGACGGACGGGCGGTGGCGGGTACCCAATCTGAAGAGGAGATGCCGGCATAGATGATAGAGGAAAGCTCATTGGCTGTAGGTTGCGTATAGGAGAGAAAAAGGCGTTCGGAAATTTGGGAAAGAGCATCACGGAGGGTTTTGGATTCGTCAGTAAGCGTTATGGAGAAGTTGCTTTCGAATTGGGAGGTCAGGTTAGGGACGATAGAGCTTTGAAGAGCTGCGAGGTTGGAGAGGGTCAGGAGCTTGCGGATGTTCTGTGCAGTGTTAGCGGATTGTCGAAGAGAAGCTGCGTGGAGGAAGTCACTTTATTCTTTCCATGAAGGCTTTCGTCGATGACTCTTGAGACAACCATGTCATCGGAGCTTGCGACCTCGTCTTTCGCGTTGTGTGGCTTTGAACTCTCGGCGTTCTCAACCATACCAGACAAGGCTTTGTAGAGTGACGTTACGAACTGACTTCTGACCATCTGTACCAGCTTTGCAGTCGGAGGGGAAACAACAGCTACTGATCCGGACTTGGTCACAGCTGCTTCAGGTATGTAGAGTATCTTCTGCATGCCTGACAACACCGTGTTCTCCAAAGCTGAAAATCGAGCCGGCATATTGGTCAGTTCAGGCTGATCGTTCGCCCGTGACCAATCCTCCATAACCTTACACATCTCAGCGTCTCGACCCCATGCCGCACACGCTGCTCGTGCCGACCTTTCTCGCGCACTAGTGACCATGGTCCTCAGCTTTTCAGACAAAGTGTGCCCAGATGCTATTGGGCGCATGGCAATAGCTTCACTTGCTGCTGAGCCAAGCAAAGTGAGAAGCTTTTCAAGGTAGTGTACTCCGCTCAGCGAATTTGCGTATGGAGGCCAGAACGCGAACTCTTCCCATGCTTCACCTCGTCGAAGGGAAGGAGGCGGTGGATGGTTTTCATCGAATTTGAAACGAGAATCCTGGTGGGCATACGGCGACAGTGTGGCAGATTGTGGTGTGACCGGTGTTGGTGTTGTTGGGGAATAAAGCATGGAAATATCTTCGATCGGAGGGTCTGCGAAAAACGAGTATATGTTCTCTTGCAATATGCCAACGAGCTCGGCGGCTCCGTTTTGGAGATCTTTGACACCATCTGTAGACAGTCGGTGATGTTTTCGGCTACGGCCGTCGATCCCTATTGGCAGTGTTTTCTGTCCTTTGCCGTCAATGAAGGTCTGAGCATTGCCCCAAAATTCAATTACTTCGCCCAGGATCCCACCCTGCACTGACAGCAGGTTGTTCAACGAATTATATATGAGATCCCAAAGCTCTAGAACAGGCGGCGTATCCAGGTCTTTGCTCGTTTCGTCAGCGTCCTTCCGAGCGGGGCTTTGCAGATAACTAGCAACGACCCGAGAAAATGGTGGTTCTATGTTCGCAAGTCTTCTGCGAAGGACCTCAATTTCTACCCTTGAGCGCTCAAAGGTAGCATTGATCTTGTTCTTCAAATGGTCATATCGGCTCAGCAGCCATACCCAGATTGGATTGTCTTCCACTCCAAGTTCTAAAAGGATGCCGATTAGCGCCATGTGATCATCCTGCGCATTACGTTCTGTGGATGATGTTGCGTTGTTCTGAACGTTGGTTAGCTTCCGCCAGATGTCGCGCTTGAAATGTTCGATCCGGTCCTCCACTTCGGACCACATGCGGCCAGTGATGACGATTTGATGGACTTGGGAGTCCGTGAGCTGTGCGTGGCCATTCGATGCGTTGCTGGCTATTTGCCTGGCGTCTTCTGTATATTTTCGAGCTCCAGAGTATTCTCTCACCAGACCCTCGTAGTCATTGCGCTTGATGCACTCGGACACAGCCTTTCCCACCTTGAGTATCTCGTGGCTTTTGTCGACAGAATCCATTACTGACTTCAAGCTTCCCTCCCGTTCTCGTCCACCCAAAGCTGGACCCCATATTTCTTCAGCCTTGACTGCAACCTCGATCAGAGGAGCTTTGATGCCTTGCACTCCGTACTCGCTCTCCTTCGTCAGGGCGTTCTTTCTCTTGTCGCTTTGCAATGGCTTGTTGGCGCCTCTTCCAGGAGATAGAGGACCCTGCCCGCTGGCGTTCCTGAAATGTGTGCTGCCCCTGCTGGTGACTCGGGAGTGAGTGCGTGATCTGTCCTGTTCGGGCTCTGCGCCTTGGTTACGCATCTCGGAGTAGACATTGTCAATCGTGGTTTTTGCCCGGACGAATCGTTCAAAATTAGACTCCACGAGTACTTTTAAAGACGCAGATTTCTGATCTATAGATCGCGAGAGAAAGTCGAGACCTTGCAGCAAGGATTGGGTTGAAGCATTTGAATGGACCTGTGATAGATATAGATTTGGAGAAAAGGTAGTAGAGGATAGGAGGAATCTGTTCCCTGAACGCAATCAGCATGATGTGATCGTAAAAGGATGGACAGTCCTCACTTAACCGCTGGTCTTCCTCGACCGGCAGACCCTTTTGTCTCAGCACACGTATAACACTATCCGTCACTCCGAGAGGGTCAGGCTCGTCCCTCTGTACCAGATTCTCATGACCGTCCCGAAGCTTCTGGGACCCGGGTATTAAGCGACGATGATCGCTGCCATTGCGTTGCAGAGCCGAGTACCTCGATCTGGATTGACGAATGGCAGTCTTTGAGAGACCGCTCGCGGTAAGTTCCTCCTCTGAAGCGTCACTTTCATCTTTCTCTGCAGGCCAAGCTGTGGGGAAAGGACTGGTCAGATTGTAATGATTGAGGATTGTATGCTCATCGTTCATTCTGGCAGCATCTGTGGTTATCCACAAGGTTGCGTGAATTTTGGAAGGCTCTCAAGATCAATAGTAAGACTCGCTGATGGATTGCACTATGAACCATGCGACAGTTGTGTACCCCAGAGCTTCCACTTGTATGCGGGACCAGCCGAGGTGCAATGGAACATAAGGTTTCGTTCCGAAGCAATAGCGCGGGAGGGTTGAGTTGAGCTGCAGGTAAATTGCTTCTTCTCTATCAGCTGTCCTTACATACTCATATTCAAAACTGTTACCTCACTTTCCTACAGCTTCTGGGGACCAATCGTGCGCCAAGAGAGCACACGAGTTTCCAAGATGATAGCTAGTCGCTCGTTTACTGTTCCAGCGAGGCAGTGTCTGCGTATAGCTAACGTGTCTCGCCCATGGGTCCCCGCAATAGCACCAATAGCACAAGTATGTGAGGTCCAATTGCATGTGCTGCATCTGAAGACAATGCTTACGAACCTGCCTGTGATCAAGACTCAATTCAGGTCTTACTCGATCCCATATGAAGACAAAGTTGCCAAGTTCAAAGGGAAGAAAGGCTCAGATGTATGTGATACCCGAATACTCAAAGACCCTACACAATTTGCCTAGTGGATAAGAAGTCTGAAAGAACACTGCGCTCATCTTTTCATGGATCCAGGGCAATTATACAGTCACACTAATTGAAGGAGACGGTATCGGCCCAGAGATATCGCAGTCTGTCAAGGACATCTTCTCCGCAGCTAAGGCACGTGCAACCTTCTACTCTGCTCTCAAATTTGAGCTGATGCTTCTCAGGTCCCAATCAAGTGGGAATCTGTAGATGTCACACCCCAATTGAAGGATGGCAGAACAGTCATTCCTGACAAAGCCATTGACAGCGTCAAAACAAACTTCGTTGCGCTTAAAGGACCTCTAGCCGTAGGATTTTCCAACGCCTGTCTAAGAGGATAAGAGGCTAACGTCGTAGCAGACCCCGATAGGAAAAGGCCACGTCTCTCTCAATCTCACTCTTCGCCGTACATTCAACCTTTTTGCCAACGTCCGTCCCTGCGTGTCTATCGCCGGCTACAAAACCCCCTATGACAATGTCGACACCGTCCTTATCCGCGAAAACACCGAAGGAGAATACAGTGGGATTGAACATGTCGTGATCGACGGTGTTGTACAGAGCATAAAATTGATCACCCGGGCTGCTTCTGAACGGGTATTGAGATTCGCGTTTCAGTATGCAGAGGACGTAGGCAAGAGGAAGGTCCGGGTTGTGCATAAAGCTACGATCATGAAGATGAGTGACGGCTTGTTCTTGAACATTGCTCGCGAGATCAGCAAGGACTTCCCACAGATTGAGTTTGACGCTGAACTACTCGACAACGCATGCTTGAAGATTGTAACGGACCCAACACCCTACAACGACAAGGTGCTAGTGATGCCGAATCTTTACGGTGATATCCTTTCGGACATGTGCGCCGGACTGATTGGTGGATTGGGCTTGACACCTTCTGGCAACATTGGAGACGAATGCTCTATCTTTGAGGCGGTGCACGGTTCGGCGCCAGATATTGCAGGCAAGGGCCTTGCAAATCCGACAGCGCTGCTGCTGAGCAGCATCATGATGTTGCAGCACATGAATCTGCATGAGCATGCAGACCAAATCCAGAAAGCTATCTTTGATACTCTGGCAGAAGGAAAGGTGAGACGACTGCGGATCGTTTTTGGAGCCAACATGCTGACACTTCCAGTATTTGACTGGCGACTTGGGAGGGAAGGCGAAAACACACGAGTACGCAGAGGCAATCATCAAGAAGTTGTAGATACTCCAAAGCGTTTGTTTCCATTCCGTGTGTTCTGATGAGAGTATGGACTTGGAGCGATGGGCCATGTTCTCAATGAGTCACATCGTGTCTTGCGTTGTAAATACGTTGCATGTGTATATGCGTCCTCTCTGGTAAGTTTTGCATCAACGACGCCACGGGTTTTAACCGAAGCGCAAGTAAGGTAGTCGACTTTCACCCTTCAGTGATTGCGTATTTGAATGACAGCATTCCTGCGTGTTCAGCACCCCAGAGTCGGCCCAAACGGCTACGGCCTGCAGAAAGGGGCTTCGATCAAAATGCGTGCTTTTTCATTGTGGCCCAGGAAAAGCCGGAGTAGGTATGAGTATTCCACATGAGTAAATCCAACAAGATCCTGCACTGCCTTAGTTGCTTGGCCATGATGAAGGTGTGGACCTGCTTGTACAAAGGTGAAAGCCAGTTGGAAATTGCTTCGACTCGGAGCCGTACTCGGTGAAGAGGAGCAGAGTACTGTAGGGATAGGTAGGAAGCAATGAAACGATGCTTACTACCTACCTACTGTACTTTACATGATGAATGCACGGGAATCTCGGGATGGTACATGAAAATGAAGAGGCGTTGATTAAGAAGTTGAGAATAATTGTCATTAATGCAGTCAGATTGCTCTTGGGGAGGTGAGTTGCCGGCAGACCGGTCAGCCTTTTCTGCGAGATGTCCTCGTTATGTGACTAAACACGGGCACTAGTCGGGATTATTCGGCACTAATGCGGGGAAGTGCAGCCGAAGTTGTCCATGTTCCTGGATTTCCCGTATTCCAGATCCGAGTCGAAAAGTTTAAAAAATATCTTCCTTACAATCAACGTCTTTTCTTTTCCAACCTGGATACTGAACATTACAGTCAATATATGTCTATAAAGTAGAGTAGAGTGAGGTCCCTGAGGTATTCGTTCACGAGGGATCCACATGGCACTGATGACGCTAATGCATTTATAATATTTACGCGCATCATCCATCCAACGGCTTCTTCTACTTTACTTTACTTTACTATCTTCTTCTTGCGCCTCTTTTCTTTCCTCGAATTCCAGTACTCGTACGCATCTGCCCCTGATCATCATCAGTATCACCCTCACCCCATACATATCACCGCTCCCCCCCTTCCCCCCCACCCTCCTTTCCCCTTTCCTCTTTCCCCTTTCATTCATTCATTCATTGATTCATTCATTCATTCATGCATGGGCATCTTCTAACCCTCTCTTTATCTTCTCATATCTTCCCTTGTGATAGCTTAGTCCTATCCTGTTGGAGTGTCACCGTCGCTGGTTGTCTTACGTAGCTGCCATCACACCCCCACCATGTCAATCCTCTTCTACGTACGTATCTTCGCGCTCCACATACCCTCTTCCCACAAGTTTGGAACCCTACCTGACATTTGTTGAGAATGTCTACTGTGCAGAAATGTTTCAGGGTTCGAGTATCCCGTGTAGATAGACAATACTGATCCCAAAATCATCAGCAGGGGCGCCCCGACTTTGTCGGAAAGGCTCCAGGACCTATGACCGTGTCTTCATGTCAGGCATATGTTAAGAGAACGTCAAAGCACAAGAGATCCATTCCGCCGGATCTTTCATTCGAGAATGTTGTACAGAACAAGGCAATGCCGCCATGCTCGCGTCAGGACTTCATGGTAGCTATACCTGCCGGCATCCTGGTACAGGCTAACCTTAGGCTTTCAATAATGACCTTTTGGGTAGGAATACCTTGTATACGTCTCTCACGATGCCGAAAATCTGCAGTTCTGGCTGTGGTACGAAGACTACTCGCGTAGGTTCTTTGCGGCTCCCAAGTCTGAGCAAGCCTTATCGCCACCCTGGTACAAAGCAGAAGTACCACGTCCTCACAGCAATGACTCCAATCAGACCGGTGCTACTATCGTCGAGCGAGGGAACCCTGTGAGCACTGGAGGAGCGATGGTTTCCGAGCTCCGCTTTGTCCACATCGACCGCCCAGGCTCACCAAACTTGTCTCACCTTGACACACGGTCACTGGCTTCAACCACCAGCACTACTCTGTACCATGCCGATTCTGTCGAGGACGCCGACACGCAGATGGGCCTGAAATGCAATTCATGTAAGTTTCATTGCCCAATCCAGATTTACACAGCTAAGCCTTCACAGCCACCAGCCAGCCTTTCCGTTCTGAGATGAATCGTGTCATTTCGCACTATCTCCATCCTGGCTCGAGCAGAGAGCTCAATCTCTCAAGTAGGGACCGCGCCGCCGTTCTTCATGCCCTAGAACACACTACTCACCCCTCTGCGCTCACCCTCGTCAGAGACATGGTCGAAGCTAGCTTGCGCGGTCAATCTCACCCGAATTTCATCCGCTGGGCTATCTGTAACGGCAACAAGCCACGCGTGCTCTTCGTCCGGAACTCAGGTATCGCGCATATCGTCGCGGCTCTCATTCTCGGTCTTCTGCTCATTTTAAGCCACGCGTCAAGATGGTGGAGGTTCTTCGTCTTTCCGCTCTTTTTCGTTGGCTTCGATATCGGTGTCGCGGCTTACAAGGGTCTTTGCGTCATCATCCACACAAGCCATCGCCGAGCTCTGCGCCCATGGGAGCAATTCAGCGAGGACGTCTCCCTTACCAGCTTCGATAGCGGCTCTGAAGAGGAAGCTAATCTATCTACCGACGACATGTTCAGCATGGTCTCCCGCTCCAGAAATGGTGTTTCACTCGACACTTTCGGGACATCTAACAGCTACAGCCATGAGTTGTGGGTCGAGAAATACAGACAGAAGCATCTGTTCCGGAAGATTTTCACTAAGAGCATCTGGGTGCAAGAACAGGCGGTGAGGTTGTTACAGGACAAGATTGTGAAGCAGAGTCATGCTTGGGCTCTGATCATCAGTGTCTTGTTGACGGCCTTGGTGGTGGCACTACCGCAAGCCAATGTTATCTAGAGAATACCTCAGCATCGGCATCAGTATCCGCATCAGCGTCAGCGTCAGCGCATTCGCAGTCATTCGAGCGTCCAAGTGCTGGACACTCGCTTCCGACTGCTCAGGCGTAGAGTTCGAAAAGAGGTTTGCATGTGCTCGCGAAAGAATTCCCGGTATTTTCGGTGTTGGATGGATCAATGTGGATGTGCAGGTTGGATGATGGATAATCGATTGACTCATTTTCTAAGTGTCTTCGCGTCAGAAGAGAGGAGACAGTCATTGCATACTGGCCTTGTACTCGGAGAGACTGGCTAGTCTTCTTCTTGCCATCGGAGTCATCTCACGTTGGCTAACTTATCTCATCTACTGCAAAGACTCTCAATATCCCATAGAAATTGCATAGCGTTGGCACAGCGTGTGGTCCGTCTACATCAACGATAGAAAATTTCCATGCTTTGAACTTCCCTCGTTTCAATGCTGCTCTATTTAGTGTGACCGAATGAGAGCCTGAACATCTGACTGTTCAGCCTCGATCATAAGGTTGAAAGAGCCGAGGGCCTCTAAGCATGCAGCCAGTCTACGGCGGACGACGGCTGACACTACGACAAAACCAAAAAAAGAATCTCTTTTCGTTTTTTTCTTCGCGATTTCTAGTAACTCTCTTCAAAATATTCTTTTTAGAATATTCTCAACTCTTCGAGAGATACTTTTTAAGATACTCTTTAGGGGTTACGCTCCGAGATATTCTCCGAGGTACTCTCCGGGGTATTCTTCCGGGTATTCTTCGAGGTACTCTCCGGGGTACTCTCTCGGGTATTCTCCCGGGTACTCTTCCGGGTACTTACGACGGATATTTTATAAAGTTCTTCGCAAACAAAAAAAAAACTTAAAATTTAAAAAAATTAAAAATTACGGGACTTTCCGTGGAACTTCCCGCGAATTTTTTTTCGCACTTCAAATATTTTTTCGAGTGATTTCTCGAGTAAATCTTTAAGAAACCCCTCGAGTAACCCTCTAAGTGCTTTTCAAAATACTCTTCTCGAGTATCTCCGAAAGTATACCCTTGAATAATCTCTTAAATCCCCTCGAATACCCTATAAAGAATTCTCTAAAAGAATTCTCTAAAATATTTCTCTAAAATATTTCTTTAGAAAATCTCTTCAAATATTTTTCAAAGTCGCTGGAAGAAAAAAAAAATTAAAGAAAAAAATTGGTTTTGGTTTTGTTGTAGTGTCAGCCCTCGTCCGCCGTACAGTCGATCACCTTCATGGAAAGCATCGAAGTCATTCAGGTCCCTCTAACTGTACAACCCTCATACGATCCGACCCTTTTTGACGTCTCACCAACAAAAGCAGAGTAGCGGAATCAATCTGAGAGTCCTTCTTGGTTTTCGCGTGAGCTGCCTTTCGAGGCCTAATTTCCCTTGGAACGAATGAAGATTTCAACAGATCGAGGTTGCGAAGACAGTAGCAGGAATTTTTAGTGAGAATGTAGTTGAAATGGCACAACAGAAAAGGTTGCTGCTTCGAAGAATCAAGCATTTTGGTAGAATGGGATTGGCATTGAAGATGTATCGCGATCGCTCTTCATATATGTTCTACCTCCAAGGGACGAGTATGGATGCTCTATATTCATCAAGACCCTAAATCGTAGATCTTCAATGCCTTACATCATTTCACGCGGGCTACCTATAGGCTACTCTTTGGCCTTCACCGCGTCGACAGGATGCAGCAACATGCCGGGCAGACACAACCTGCCCACCTTGTCCAACCCAGCAGGATAAGGGTACGGCGTGTCCTTGTGGCCATTCGGACCCATTCCTCGCACCGCAAAGGCCTCCCCTTCAAGTCCACACCACCGCCGATACAACGTCCGTGGATACTGCTCGAACTCCAGACGCCACCGAAACGTACTTCGTGTTCGCATTTTGATCAATATCTTGCGCAGCAAAGTCAGTAAAGGTGCCATTCGGCCCGACGGTGTTGAAGATTTTGTTGTCTTCCTCCGGTTCATCGACCTCCTCTTGGTGGTCTAAGTATTGCGGTACGGAGAATTGGGCTACTTTGAGAGCATGGAGTAGCACCGTGGTGTGGGCGAACGTTTGGGACCGTATGTTCATGCTCTGGGCATCATGCATAATCTGCAGAAGCTGCCTAGACAAGCGGACCCCCGGAGTGACCATGAGTGAGCGACGAGGTGGATCTTCCCTTCTGGAAACCCGTAGATGGTATTCTTCTTGAAAAGCTCCGTGTGATTGAGGTCTATTATAGGAGACATTGAAATAACATCTGCCTCTTCGCCGGCGCCTCAGGAGTAATCATCTTCTGCTGCTGTCTTCCTGAGAGATTTAGGTCCGAGAGATCTTGGGACGGCCCAGCTTCGTACAGGGCCCCGGACACCACCGTCTGGGTTGGCGGCCTCTACAGTGTCCGAGAAGCTGGCGTAAGTACCGTGGTAAGAAGGGATGTAGAATCTGGCAGCTCGTTCAAACTGAAGCTTGCGTGGCTGTTTGCGAGCTCACGACTCGGCATTCTCGAGAATATTGTACCAGTTTCCTGTATAGCGGACGTCAAGTTCAAATTGCCAGACGAAGACGAAGTCAGGGTTCATATTGGAAAAGAATTGTAGTGGCTGATTTATGTGTAGAGATTGGCCGCCTCCTTGATCAATCCCAGGATACCAAACCTTCAGTAGGTCTTGGTTGAAGAGGATCGTCATATTATGGAATTCGCGAGGTACGATATCATCAAGGGCTTCTTAATAGGCCCCAGAACCAGGGCTAGTCAGGATAGGTCTGTCTTTGTCTTTGATTCTCACCATAAGGTAGATAGAGTACTCGCCGCCAGTGTGAAGAGAAAGCTCGCTAATCATCGAGCGAACGCTTTGAAGAAGCTCAGGAGTATATTCCATCCCCTGCCAAGCACGAAGGAGAATAGCTGTTTCGTCTTTACACTTCTTCGATGGAGAGAACAACGCACGTTTGCTACTTCTCAACATAAGCATTGTGCTGCGTTTCAGAGACAGAGGCTTTTCAGTCTCAGGCTATGCAAGAACCAAATTTTGCCCAGGACTACGACTAAAGCGAGGTTTGTTTGCTTCCCCACACTGGGCTTGCAATTGGCCCCAATCGACATATCTCCAATCAACATCCGGACTCCCGGAAGTTTGGAGTAGGGGCCGATCTCGAACAATGTCAAATCCGTAGAGGCCAAGTCGACCACTCCGATCAAGCAATGGGTACTATCAAGCTCACTTTCGGCAAAGGAGCCAAACATGGGGTTTGGGTTTAGAGCTTTGCCATCGATGAATTTCGATTCCTCAGGACATGACGAGACGAGGCGCTTACCAATTGGATCAACAACCCAGGCCTCAAGCATGTCGTCTGGATTGCTGTTCACATGTACGCCTCGCGGCCCCAAACACGGCTGCTGAGAGCCATGCCATCTCAGACACCACGCTTGAACATTGTAGTCAGGGTAGACGTTGTAGGGTTTGCGAGGAAATAAATCCCTGGACGCTAAATCGATGTAGTCGACCGAAGGCAGTCTGCGTGCTGATGGCTCTTCAATGATGGGGTGCCCGTGATTTTCGACACCATGGTCATTGAGGACAAAGTCTGGAACGACGGTGATGTTCCTATACAGCGGAATCCCGAAGTCATGCCGCCAAATGTAGGAAATTGAGAAGGTGTATGGAAGTAATGACACGAGGACGCCGGCACAGGGTGAGAATGGCTTTGTCTTCATATTTACAAGCGGTTGGGATATAAAAAGGTGCTATTGACAAAAGAAAGAAAGGAAAAAAATGTTAAGAAGGAGTAAAAATACAAAGCATCGCATGGATCCTGGCACATCAATTCGTCGCAGATCCCTACCGAATTCCCGAAATCAGCCCCATGTCGCATACTTGTATCCTCGGTCACAGCAACCAGTCAACACGGCCGGATAATAACATAAATTGTATGGACAAGTTCTATGACTTGCTCGTTGGTGAATCGGGAGAGAACGAGTCGACCCCAAAAGTGTCTATTTCATGGCACAAGTACTTTTTAATCTACTCGTGTGGCCGAGAAGTCTATCATCTTGGCAGTCTAGCTTAGATAGGTTAGCGCTATAGATCATAGGCATAATTCAGTGTCAAACTGCGGAGGAACGAGATAGTCTGATTGGTGGGTACTCCCGCGCTGGACTGCCAAGATGATAGACTTCTCGGCGACGGCCACACGAGTAGAGAGTAAAGACTAATCTTACTTTACTCGGGTTAGGCTGTGCCGCTGCCTACTCGAACGCTTCTAAATGATGGCGCGCGGCAGCGGCAAGCATCCCTGGCATGAGTGGACATAATGAATCCATGATTGATGACGCATATTATATACTATATGTTGCATGAATCAGGATGTATGTGATAGAACGCTCGAAGATGCACGCCAATCGACGACTGTAACCCGTCAACGACTACCCCTAGATAGCCATACAAATGTCCCCATACCAGGTATGAGCGGTATTGGCGACTTTTGCAGCTGTCTACGCGAATATCGTTGTTTGTAGCTCTTGATAGGAAGTCATCTTATACATCGGCCTTAGCACCACCCTTCATCATCTCACTGGGCTTTCAATGCCAACGGCTTATTCCCTCCATCTTATACCCCACTCTCCTTTGGCAAAACTACTCTCCACCACTCTGCCCCATTGAACCGCCTCTACGCTTCTCCTCTTTCCCTCCTCCATCTCGAATCCAAAAGCCACACCTCTACGTGCGGCCCTCCTCACCATCTCCCGCTCTTTAGCCTTTTGCATGCCCCATTCCCTCAGAGTCCTATGCGGTCTTTTCTCCGATTGGGGCTTCGTAGTAGTAGCAGTAGTAGTTGTAGTAGTAGCTGCAGGAGGCTCCATCTCAGATGGGAGTCTCACGCCGCCACCATCGTCCTCCGCTTCCTCTTCTCCATCACTCGGACCGTCTTCTCGCAGCTCCTCTGCGTCTAAGAGCTCGACCTCCTCATTATCAGACCCGTCATCCGTCCTAGTCTTCGTAAAGATCGCTCTCTCCACTTCTTCACATTTCACAATCCTTCTCTCTCTGCCATCGCCCAGTAGCCGTACAAAAGCTCGCTCGATGTCGTTCTCAGTGGAAGGGGCAGGACGAGGCCTCTCTCGTCGGCAGCGGTCCGAGCAGTATTTCTGAGGCGTGGCTTGTGTGGTGTGGGATTTGCGGGGAGCTTTGGCAGGGTTAGAACAGGAGAAGTAGCCAAGTTGTATCAGAAGAGAAGTACTATCACATCAAGAGGAAATTTATAGTAGCTACATGAAAGACGAAGTATTGGCTTACAAAGTACACGTCCACATGTGCGGCAGTAGAGAGTATTGGCCGATGGCCCCGGGGCAAGAGCATTGCGAGAAGGCCGAGTGGACATGCTTGAAGCTTGTGCAGACGTCGTGGGTGGCGAAACAGCCCGGGAAACACGACAACCAAGAGAAAGAGACTGAAGTAAAAGAATTGGAAGACGTGGAAGACGATTCAGGCGTCCAATACGGTGCATCAAGTGGGAAGGAACCTGTTAAGCTAGGAGAGATTTTCCAAGTTCCCTATTTACTTTGAACGGTGAATGGCTGACAAGACGATTGTACATCCGCCAATGCGACGCTTTACTAAACACTTGTTCGTGCTCAATGCCAATGCAATGCACCCTTCAATATCAAAATGGTCATGATTCTCCCGTGCCCTTTTCCCTCTGCCCTTCCACCATTAGACGCTATGCTAGAAAGATAACTCCATGCCTAATACTGCCTGCTGTACATTTCTTCATGCACGCTTGTCTTCTAAACTTTCCCTCATCACAGCTGCCCAGATAAAATAGCTTCCGTCGCTGTCAATGAGTCAGCATATGGATTACTGAGCGCAGTACGCAATAGACTCACCTGAACCAATGTACGCTTTTTTCGGTTCGAGATTGACGTTGAATCTCCTCTCCAGCTCCATCTTGATGCTCTTCTTTGTCACAGACATAAGATCGGCGGTCTTCAGGATTTCCCTGATCTCCGCCAAGATAGAGTCGTCACTTGGCAACTCCGAGAAGTCAGACATCTCCATGTTCTCTTGATAGCCTCTATTCACTATCTCTGATGGAGCGAGTGATAGACGCGATCCATATTTCGGCATCTCCATCTGAGACATTGGTCTTGACGGTGGATAACCATATTCTGAAGCTGCGGGATGATACGATTTCGTGCCGTATGAATAGCCAGAGATTTCCGACTTATCGTCATGCTGAGTTTGAGCGTCCCAAAGCTCAGCTTGGTATTCTTCCCATCTCTTGTGCGGAATCGACGCAGGGTCAAATTTGCCCTCATCAGATATAACTAACTGTTTGCCCTTCTCACCTGTAACAACTCGGGTATTACCCCATGAGAAATCATCCATGTGCCAGAACGAATACAGTGGCAGACCCAGTGAGAAGACAGGCATGGCCAGAATGTATATGATCATCCATCCAATCATCTCCCACTTTCTCCGTAGTATGAAGATTATGGCTTGTAGACCGTAGATGGCTCCTAACAGTACGAACGCCATCAATGGTACCACTGCAGAGTCGATAGCGATCAAGACAATCAGGTAACCAATGTAGGCCACGGTTACAGGCTGGACAATGGTGCTCATTAAGTCGAGTAAGACAACAAAGCGCATGCTGAAACAACAGAAACCGCAGAGCTGCTGGAGTGGAATGAGTTCGACGAGATTGTGAACAGTCGAATTGATCCACCGTCGACGTTGCGACATGAAGACGTTCCAGCTGTCGGGTGCGATGGTCCATGCATGCGCGTTAAAGGTGTATTTGGTCTTGTACTTCGGATGATGCTTGAGAAGGAGCGTCGTCAGAAATCGGTCCTCGCCAAGGTGGAGCAAGTTCTTCATGTGAAGAGTGTCTACGCGGATTTCTGAATACGCCTCAACAATTTCTCGGCTGACGAACAGAGGCTTTCCAGTCTCCGCAGCGCGTATGCGGTACATCGTAAAACAACCTGGTAGGCAAGTTACAGAACCGAACAAGCTCTCGAAGGCCTTTGTCAAATTATGCGATATGTAGTATTCGTAGACCTGAATCATGGTGGTGAAGGAGGACTTGGCGTTAGATAAAGCAGTCTCTCCACAGATCCCAATGAGCCTGGTGTCGTGAAGGAATGCAGCTACCATGCGTGAAGCAGAGTCAGGAGCCACTACAGTGTCCGCATCGATCTGAAGCATGAATTCGTAAAATGTTGGGTTGACTCCAATGATATTCCGGATTTGATGATGCATCTCCAATTCAAGAGGGTTCATAGGATGGTTGTAATGCACGCGATTTAGGAATCTCATGATTACCATCTGAGAATCACGCTTGCCTCGATTGCCGGGTCTCGAGACTTCTGAGGGCTTTCCGATCTTGACGACGACCATAAAAGGCACGATATGTCCTTGAACTTCGTACAATCCAGAATAAACCTTACCCATATTGTGCTGTTTCATACCCTCGCCCAAGCTCTCGAAACTTAGTGGTTCAGGATCCACCGTTTCATTCACACCTAAGATGTCGAGGACGATTCTCGGAGTAGGTCGATCGTTGCCCTGGCCGATGATCATACCATCGCAGACAATGACCAATAATTTGCGTTTGTCGTCATACTTCATTCGTGCTGCCGAGTCAATGGCTCGGCGAAGAGAGTCCTCATCCTCAGTGTATGCAG